GCCGTCGAGGACACCGCACCTTGCCAATTGCAGAGAGAGAAAGCAGTGCGGACGAAGTTCACCAGTGCTCGAGAGAGCACGGAAGGAGCCAGCTCCTGATGCAGAGCCGGAAGCAAAAGAGAACAGCAGCCTGGCATTTATCTCCTTTCTAGCTAGCAGCTAGTATACACTTCCAGGCTTCAGGCTTAGCCCGTATCTCTGGCATCTGGCGAGAGGCCCAGCTCCGGATTGCCCCGCCAGAGACGGAAGCACTACTCAGACCAAGAGTAGGAATTCGTTCAGGGCTGACTGGAACCCCGGCCTCGTAGAAAACGAGAGATGGAGCGAGAGAGAACCAGTGCATTGATTGTTGAAGCTTTATGTTTTGTTCGCTGGAATATGAAAGGGGAATAGGAAGGGGAAGAGCATCAGAAAACTAATCCATTGTAGAGGGACAAAGGGGCCAAAGCTGAGCCCAAGAAATGCTGCGGACGCAAGCCAAAAGTAAGAACTCTTAAGTTCGCTGAAAGAAAGACAGGAAGAGGGAAAGACAGAGAGTGAGCGCGGGATTGTGCATCTCTGACTGTGTAAACATGTCGACATGACGAGACGCCAAGGTCCTCTGGGCAAAGGCGCCGAGGAGCTTCGTGCCGGCATCTAGCCCACTCTCTCTGGGATCTGTTCGAAGCATTTCGACCCCACACTGGCCGTAGAATCCTCTGCATGAATATCAGGAATGCAGCACTGCACACTTTCAAAGGATGTTGCTGCTGATGCGCCCCAAGTTTCGATCATGTGACTGGATAGGTACCTCAGAGTCTTCGGCCCGTGCAGTCGCCATGGCCTCCTGCCCTGCTTGCGCCAGTTTGCTCGGCCTGGTTTTAGTGCCATGGCTGGGCCTCCAGTCTCAAACCGTACCGGTACCAGACAGAAGTCAGGCTTTCATTCTTTGCTACGGCCTCCTAGGCGGCCTGGCCTTGGGTCTTGTGACTCTTGCGGCCCATCACAGCAAGCTGGTACAGGAGGCATGACATAGGCAGATGCCCGGAGGTCCAAGATCTTCTGGTTTTTTCTGACGGAAGCACCCGCAAACATCCTTTGACGAATGGATTACTCAAAGCAACCGGGGACTGGATGGCCGCGGCATGCACGCCAGTTGTGATCATCTCAAGAGAAGCCGTGGCAGACGATGGCTCTTCGATGTTCCAAGGCTGCCCTGTTTTACGATTCGATACACCACGCAGTCCTGCAGCCTCTGTGGCAATCGTTGGCGAATCTTGCGCTGGGCCGGCCACCCTCGCTGTGTAATCCCGATATGCGGATCTTGAGGTAGGCAAGCAAAAGATGCTCGCATTTAACTCAGTTGCTGCATTAACGTCTTATACCAGGGAGGTCGGGGATTCGAGCGTGTTAGGAGTCCTTCCTCTCCGACTCGACGGTGCCGATGATGCACATGAATGTGCTTCGCCTGCACATTCTGGGACCTTCCTCTGTCAGGGAACTGAGATCGAGGGATTCCTGAACTTTGAAGGAAACCGTCTGCTTCCTTGGGCCGGGTTTGTGTGGTCTCATTTGTGTTGATGGGGTGTTGTAACCTCTCGGTGAGACAAGCTGTTGAGTGAGCCTGAGTGCAACAAGTCCAAGGCATCGGACAGAATATGGCGAATATTGAAGTGCTACTAAACACGCACACTGAACCTAAACGTACAAACAGTACGTGGGGGCCTTTCCCCGCGTTGCGACTTGGTCGACTGGGTGTGTGGGGAAAGCCCCGTGAAATGCGGGCTTCGTCCTAGACCGGTGGGAGACGAACAAACCGCAACAGAGCCGAAGCAGCAGGCGACCCCTGGAACCACCGATGCGGATCACTCCTTCCAGACCGAAGGAATGAGTCGAGCTGCCCGGAGCCTCATGGGACGGGTCTGATTTCTGGACTAGGATATGTCAACAGCATCGCGATGTTGGTCGTAGTAGTGGTAGGTGGTGGTGAGAGTGGTAGTGGCCATCGTCGTTGCTGTTCTCGTCGCTTCGAGGAGAAGCAGGTTTGTCGTTCTTGGTGTCTCGCATCATTGCCCTTGCATTGCGTTGCAGGTTTCAACCTCGAGGTTCTCAGCTGTTGACAGGGGGGCTCTTTTTCTTTCCATCTCCTCGCTAGTCTTTGTTTATTCCTTCGACTTGTCCCCGGACCCCGGACCGTCGGCAGCTAAGGTCCTCCATGGCTCATTCTTGGAAGACGACTCCCTCATGACTCCACCGATCCGGGATGGCAGGTTCCACACTCCAGGCGCCCCTTTCTATAGATATAAGATATAATATAAAATATATGGTATACTATAAAGCATATGATCATACATATATATATATATGAGCATTGATCTAAAGGTCCTTGTGTGGGGATTATATAAAACGGTTTTAACATGTAAATTAGTGTGTCCGCGAAAGATCCGCGATGGGTCCGCGAAAGGAAAGCAATAATCCGCGAAAGTTGTTGTGTAAAAGATTTGGGCCGTATAAGACTTGT